TAAATTCATTGAGCTATTTCCGATCCGAATAGTAGATGTATAGAGCCATAAAGAGACTAAAATTAATCCCATAGCACATTTCACAAGGCTGTTTTTCATACTATGGACAGATTCGGCACTGAGATCTTATTGAAGTTCAGTTTAATCACATGCTCAATTCAAGCTGGACGCTCCACTGATGGGAGGTATAGTGCAATGAGACTTTTATTGACCTGCTTGATGGAAGTTTTAAGTGGGATTAATGGTCACATCAGGAGACCTAGTGATTAGGTTGTACAAAGTGGAGGAAACAATTTCTTATTAAAAAACGAATAGAAGCTGAATAAGTGAAAAGGCACATTTTAAGTAATTTTCAAGAATGTATACCCTACTGCCTCTGCGTATATATAGATTAAGTGTTCATACATATTAAGATTAAGATTGCTTTAAATGTACATTGCTCAACTCTTACTGTTACATTCACCATTCAGGATGTAACACGTACTGTACATCCTGTACAGGGACAGGGGCGGTGCAGTGGCTAAGGATCTGCGTCTGTGGCTGGAAGATTGCCGGTTCGTATCCCACAGCTGGCAGAGGAATCCTACTCCGGTGGGCCCCTGAACAAGGCCGTTAACCCCAACTGCTCCAGGGGGACCGTATAAATGGCTGACATGGCTTTCTGTATGAGTCCTTACATTGAATTATGTCAGTACAGGAGCAGAGTTAAACACTGTTAGTCTTAAAATAATTACATGTAAACACCCAAATATAGTTCTCACTCCCTTCTAATGATATACTATAATATTTCTAATACCCATTTACCCTAGTCCAATCAAACATACTCAAAATTTATGGTGCTCAACAATTGTCTGCTACCCATTATACAGTATAAGGGAACCCCAAGCAAAATTATAAATCTAGTTTGGAAAGCGTTAGCATAATGTCTTGTCTATGTGTCTTGTCTTAATTCCACTCTGTACTTGCATACTCTGTCCTACCCAAAACCGTCCCTTGATTCAATAAGTGAAGCAACTTCCCACTTCTTTTTCTGATTTGCTCTGTAGTGGGGCTATTAGCTGTAAGTCAGTGGTGGGTGAAGTGAATATCCTACAGTACATGTAAAATGCTTTGGGACCCTTTGGGTCTCCATGATCACCAGTATCCTAAAGAGCAGCTTCAGCTATACATTTGAATAACAAGTGTTTTAGAAATTCAGACATTATTGAATCTAATAAAAAATGGCATTTCTAATAGATCTGTGGTTAGTAAAACTTATTTCTTATAAAATATGCTGGAAAAAGTTTTTTCATGCACAGAAATTTTGAATGCCTATTTTAACAGATATAAAAATAAAACTGAACCATGAAATTAAAATTGTTATATTGAACAACATGCAGATCTAATACCTTTTTTAATTTTAATTATTAACAGAAAAGACCAGAAACACTTTATTTTGGAGGTTACTGCAAACGTACTGCTCTCTTCCTTTAAGAGATAACACTTTTGATACTTTAATAATACACATTGCTACACTTTGCCTTTGCAAAATCAGTGGGCCTTTAGATAACTGGCCAACAGATGAACCAAAAGAGCTTATTAAATCCGTTAATAGGAATATGGCATTTTCTACAGAGCAGTAAACTGCAGCTAGTATTTGCAGACCTTATACCATCTGTTGAAAGTAACCTTGGTGTTCAAATAAACTTGCCACCGGGATGAATAAAATATGTAACAGACAAAATGTAAGGAGAAAATTTAATCAGGAAATCATAACTATTGGCTAACGAAAACATTTTACTGGATCAATTATAGAGAGATGGAAAGAGGCTTATTTTAATTAATAATGTCTCTCTACATGAAAATTGAAATTTGATACACATAATTGCCTCTGAAAGCCTTTTATCAAATTGATGTCTTTTACTATATGCATTGTCAGTTTTTGATAAATTGCTCATTAGATACACACCATTGTAGAAAGTACACTGCAGCCCACCTGTTTAATTCATTCAAAAAGAGACCTGAACGGATATGAGTTCTTGCATAAATGCATTTGTGGTAATAGTCTCAGCTGCAGTCTATTTTTAATTAAATGACAGTTTACATTTTTCAACCACAGCGTCTCTTGTAGACCGGTTACTTGAGTATTTACTGGAAGAACAAATTGATAATATAATTGCTATTACTTCAAACACAAAATGATTTGAGTGTGCTACAGTAAGGTACTACCTTGGAAATAAATATGGAATCTTTGTTCTTTTAACCTGAAGTGTTAGAAAATATAAAAATTTAGAATAAAATGCATTAAACATGAAATGTATGAAACATGAAACATTCATTTTGAAATTGTGTATAGAATGTAACTGAATGCATCACACTCACTTAAAACTATTGTTCATGACTTCCAATATCATTTTTAGTTTGATTTCTATTATTTGTTATAAATTATGAATTATTCAGTTTGCAAACCTGTATACAGTAGTCTCAATAATCAATCCTGGGCAGGCCTTATTGGTTGAACAGTCCTGTGTTTGCATAACCTCCTGTAAAAGGCTGAATTTTTGTGAATTACTCTAGAAGCTCAAAGATATTAGGGTTATCTTTTCATTCTTTGTCTCATGAGCAGTAAGAAAAAGTTTCAAACACTTTATATTAATTTCCCCACATAAGATCTTCTTAGCTATTGAAGAACTCAATGGATGTAACCACCGCTACTTGACAAACACACTAACTGCAAAATCGTCTCATCAATATGTCAAAAAGACAGTACGCAGGTCTAATCCTTTTATGAAAAAAAAATCTAAAGTCAACAAATGTTGCCAGTCTTGCCTGGATTACCATCAAGCCTAGAGCAGTATCTTTCCTCCACTCTCACACATGAATCAAATGATAAATATTAAAATCCCCATAGCTTCCAAAGCATATTTAAACGCCTTAGTGTTTTGAATGTAAGACCTACTGTGTCACAGTAATAACCTTCAAAATATGACCCTTATACTTAGGTATAAGAGAATTATATTCATGTGTACCTTGTACTATGAAATGACTTCATCTGTTAACCACTATTGAATCTCTTAGATTAAACTGAATATTTCTACAACAGAAGGTGAAAAGTTTCTGGGTCATGTTAGAGTGGACCACATCAATGTAACCTTCGTAACTGTGAAACCGTGAACATTTGTTGTCTAATATGAAGGGAAATTATTGTTACAGCTACATAGGGGGTACTCAAACACCTACTGTAGCAAGTGTCAACATGGGTAGTTCTCGGGAGCTTCAAAGCAAGAAAGGAACTTGCAAGAAAGGTGTTTCATGAGTGGAAGAGGGTCTGAGACACACGGATCATAGGAATCTTCTGGTTTACCTGGGTTGATAAAGTACTGGATACTTATGATTAAGAGTCTTCAACAATAGAGGAATAGAGGATAAAACCAGGCTGGAAGGCAGTGAGTCAGACAGAGAGGAGAGAAAGTGGGACAGGAGAAAGAACAGGAAGACACAATGCAAGAGAAGAGACAGTGTCAGACATGAAGTTTTTGTTCTGATCAGCCTTTGAGAACAGATTCAAGCTATGTATTTGAACCTTGTTAAGGGAGACTGCCATTCTGTTGTTTTTAGAAAACTCCTAAATTACTGGGTTAAAAATAGATCTTTTCCAGTTCGCGGATGCACTTATTAGATTAGGGAGATAGGTTCCCATTCATTTTGTAGCATCAGGTTTATAGAGTGAGAGATTTAACTCTAGGATGTATTCTGTTTGGTGTGGAAGGCAGATTTATCCGAGGGTGGTGTGGTCGTTCTGCGGCTAAAGATCTGTGCTGAGACTGGACGTTTGCCAACAGAGGAATCCTACTCCGTTGGGCCCCTGAGCAAGGCCCTTAACCCCAGCTGCTCCAGGGGCACCATATAAATGGCTGACCCTGCACTCTGACCCCAAGCTTCTCTCCCTGTCTCTGTGTCTCATGGAGAGCAAGTCGGGGTATGTGAAAAGACAAATTCCTAATACAAGTACAGAATGGTCAATAAAGTGATCTTATCTTACAGTATCTCTACTTTTGGGCTGGTGAGGTTAATAGGTTTATAGGATTATCATGGTAGGAAGCAGTCTCAGATTCTTCTGGTTGGTCAAGATGTAGGACATCAAGACACCTTGTTTGTAAGTAGTGTAGTGTAGCTTGTACAGTACAGTATATTGTATGTTTTATTGTATTTGTGTGTTGTTTAGTTTGTGTATTATTACTAATGAATATTAAATATTTGTTTAACCATGTATGCCTGTTTTATTACTATTTCACCGAAGCTGTGCTAAAGAACAAAGAACTTGCATTTAATTATGCTAACTGCTCAGGTATATTGTTGGAAAAGCTTTACAATTTGGGGGTTATGACTATTTTGCTTATTGACTAACCCGCTCAGCTCATTTTCTGTGTCTATTGTCCCTAAGTCTAACAATATACTGTATTTCTACAAAGCATAGATGCATTTGTCAGCCTTATAGGTTAAAATCATGGAATAGATGTTGAAAAAAACGATCTATGGACTTAACCAACAAATGAAATCTGAATCTATGGCACTGATATAGTAGCTAAGGAATGAATGATTTGATTTACTGTTTTTAGTCATAAGCCTTCATGAAATGGAGGATAACTAGTATCTGATCTTTTCATCCAACATCAGAAATTCAATGAAAGTTTTAGTCATGATTAAGGATAATGAAAACATAGCGGCAAATGTCATTCAATTTGTGAAATGGTTGGAATGTTACAAACCTGGCTTTTTTCCCCTAGATAATGCCCCTAACAAAGTAAGCCAGTGTGTAAACACAGTGTCATTAGGGTCTTCTATATTTCAGGTTACATCCTGAGTAGTCTATTAAACAAATCAATTAAGAACAACTATGTAATTATAACAGTCCTCAGGTGAAATAAAAACACCTTCAGAAACTGACTTTGAGACCCCTGATGCACCGATATTTTCACATACAAAATGTAAGAGAACAACCTGTGTCCACCAAGACTAACCTCTGTGAGTGTGGAGGGGAACTGGCGCTCATGAAGTCGAAAGGCAGGCTGGCACTGGAAGGTGATGGTGATGATGACTCCCAGACAGCCCAGGTGAAGCCTAGCAGCCTGAAAGATGTCTTCATTCACTGACTCTGAGCAGTGCAGTACCTCTCCACTGGCAGTCATCAGACTCAGACGCATGACCTGAAGGACACATCAGAGCTTCATCACGCATCGACATTTGCTTTCAGAGTATTGATCAAATGCTTGTCTCATTCACATGCTTTTTCATTTTCTCCTCTATTTCTTGTGCTGTACTAGAACATGACAAAGTCTACAAACACTTGAAATATCAAATATAACTAACAATATCTTAACTAAAAAAACATCATGCACTTAAAACACTTGCATGAAGTCCTTTATTTAAGTGCTTTCCTTTTCCAACTTTTACTTTTGCTTCTTTGGCAGCTTTCCACTAGTGATGATACCGGTGTTTCATCTACAGAGATTTGTGCCTGTGTTGTGTTCCAAGACAGGTGTTTTGAGAACTAAGTGCTAATTATGATCTTTTAATTTATGAGGTACAGTGCAGGCAAGAATAAACAAGTAAACAAAAAAATGAGTACATACAAACTTTGTGCCTTCACTCAAATCAACAAAATGATTCACACAATACTCCTCAAAGCCAATCAGTCATACTAAAGCTCTGTGAGACAGCTTATACTCCTCTTTGAAAATACAGGACCAACCATTATTCACACACCTGCAAACTCTTTTTAAATCTAGGCTTCCAACCATGCACTTAAACACAGATCAACAAAATTAGTAAAGACAGTATGCAGGGGTAAATACACACAACACAAATAAACAAAGTGAGAGAGAGCACATAACACTAACACAAAAACAAAATCTTGTACTAGCCAGAAGCAGTTAGACAGTCACACACACTGGGTGGATGTAGCTATTCACAACTGTGTGTGTACAATTGTTTTGTGCTTGTGCGTGTCAGGTAATAAGAGCTGAGCTGATGGTGTCCTTTGTTTTCTTGCTCACACATCATGTTTGCTGAGGAGATTGACATGAGATTCAGGAATCAATTTGCATTTTGCCTGTAA